AGTTATGTAATAAGTTTGCTAAAAACAATAATTGATATCAACGATATATATAGAAAATTTATGTTATGGTCCTACATTATAACAATGTAAGACATTTTGTTTTCAAGTAATTTAATAAAAAATTAAGAAGTTGAAATGTTTGAAGCATATATTTTGATGTATGTTTTCTGTTATAGAAATTCCTATACTCGATGTACCTACTAACTGTAATTTATATTTTATTATGTATTATTGTGATATGGTTTGAGTTGTGCCAATTGTTTTGTCTACATAATTAAATGTAAACTTAATTAAAAATATTCGGCCCTCTAAATGTTGATTACATCTCAATCAAATGCACTGCAAGTGCTTACTAATTTGTATTAATATATTTACTCCCACAAAAATCTACTATAAAAATAATTATAATTATCTAAAATATGTAAAAAGTATGTAGTACACGACTATAATAATACATCACTATATAGCACATGGGTAGGTTGATATCACGCACGCCAGCGTGATAAGTGTTTTTTTTTTGTTTCATATAATATCTAATATAGGTACCTATCTATAAATGGTAATAATCTAAATATAAGTGTAATATAGGTAATACAATTGCGGATAATATAATCAAATAACTCAAATTCCTTCGTCGACACGACGACATTCGTGTACCTATAGATACCTGTAATATTATGACACTATACTCGTACGGCGGCGTGTTTAATTGAGTACCATAACATAATATTATGCGTAAGTTACTCGGTGACAAAAACGAATAAAAGGACTGATGTGCGCGAAACCGCGACGGGTATATACCATGGTATACCATGGCTGGTATGTAACGTTACTTACGAAACGCGTATCGCATTATGTACCCACCTACCTATATAATATGTTTGTACGCGGAAAACGGCTTTGACATTCGTCCGGGCACGTTAATTTCTGCATTTGGCTTGTCGTAATAATTATTATTTACGTTTTCGCGATGTTTCTCCCTCGAACGCGATGGAGGTCCCGTGTCGTCGACCACTATAAAACTAGTAATGATGGGACGTGTGTCGTAGCACTGTTGTACGCGTGCCCATATAATATGTAACGGTTTAATGGTCTCGAAAAGGCTGTAAACTTAAAAATAATAATATATATATATATAATACAGCTGACAATGGGTACAGTATTTATTATAGTAATTATGAGTTGCGACACAGCCGCTGCACGTAGGTGGTGGCGTGCATTACCATTACAGTCCTCTACGAATTTCGATTGTGCGACGTCCTATCAATCTAATATTATGCAATTACGAACTACGAGTACGATGTAGGTACCTTTTTTTTTTCCATGTATAACCACTACCACTAAGGTATACCGATCACACGTGACACGTCTGTTAGATCCCGGCCCATGACTATAATATGAGAATATTCTGAATATTTAACTTAATAATAATAATATTTTCATATATATATTATATTATATGTATTGGTACTCTGTAGACTACTATTATGGTGTAGGCACCCACCATACCATATTTTATAATAGTATCGGATAACATATTTTTTTTTTCAAATGATAATCTCTAGTCTTGCACTCTTGCCTCTTTTTTCATGTCAAATTGCAAATGATTCATTTGAAAATGTGTTGATGTGTTTAAATCGAAATTTTGAACGAGTAGTTTCTACAGTAAGCTCTAGGTATGTACTTTTTTTTAAGAAAAATAGACAATAGTCCATAATAATAGATTCGGTATTAGGTAATGACTAATTTATTAGAATTTTAAAAATGTTTGTGCATCTGTATACCTATATCCAAGGCCGGATTAAGGGGGGGGTCTAGCCGGGGCGAAAGCCCGGGCCCTTCAGTTCCAAAATGAAAGGGGCCCAACAATTTTAATCTGATACCACATTTTGCAGGTGATTTTAAAGGATAGTTATTCTATATTTAAAACCATTTTTTTTTATCGACAAAAACACTAAATAGTAATAGCCTTTTTGTAGGAAAGGCCGCATTTTAGTGTTATTTATACTGTTAGTTAATATTTGTTGTAAATAAGTATTATGTTAATAAATTTAAAAGTTGGTATGTAAATTTGAATTTAAATTAATGAAATATAAAGTATTAACTCTGTGGAATGATGGCAGAAGCTGATATGTACATTTTGTTAATTTTTCAATTATATCATTTAAATAGTTTAGAAATCGTACATTTCATTTTTAAAAAAAATTTTTCTTCTATCATACTTAATAAGATATATGTCTCTATTATGTGTGTGGTGCCATTTATATTCAAAGACCAAAACTGATAAGTCATTAGGTATTTGAAAATATATGTAGCGGCAAAACTAAGTTGTAAAATGTACATATCAGCTTCTGCCGTCTTTACTTTTATTATATTACAATTAGTGAATAGTGGTTGTATATTTTATAGACATATAAATTACATATACTTACCTATTCATTTTATAATTTTATAATGCAATTCCATTTATGAATTAGAAATGTTTGTGCACGAGCAGTTTTATAAGCTCCTTCAAAAGGGCAACATCGATCATCAACAAGCAACATCATCATAAACATTTTAAAATATAAATCTTCTGTGTTACAATGTACAGTTAAAAGATGCGTTCGCATAAAAAAAACATTTGTTTGAAAATCTGGTCCTAGGAACGTATACTCTAAAAATCCCAAAAATCAAAATTTGAATAAATGTTTAATATTTTATTGAATAGGCTAGAAACACAATAGTTATTGTTAATTCAGTTAATTGTTACCTACCTAATACGCTTGTAGTACTCGGCATGAGCGTAGTCGGACGTATGCCACCCGAAACGTAGGTATTCAGTCTGTATTTGTTCATCACTTAGAGCAATATTTTTTTTATAAATTACTATACCTCTATACGTTCAATATTAATATGCTTATAAATTATATGTTACCCTTCGTCATTTGTAAAATCTAAACCAATTTATTACTATCGAGTATCGATCGAATAGGTACTTAATTTTTTTCGAGTTATTATGCTGACCTTGCCATACATTAAATATATTTTTTTTTATACATTTATTTAATTCGGTAAACTATGTAGCACCACAATATTTTGTACCGGCAACCACACAAGCAGAAGTCAGGAGCTAAGGTGTAGGCAATTTATGCACACGTTCCTAGAATATTTTAAATAATATTTATACGGTTGAATTTCAATTATTTACTACCTGCCTTCACTAATAAACATTTCACATTCTCACTAGTAATCTTTACCGGATATTCAAAAATGTGTTACAAAGTATTTTAAAAAGAAAAAAGGTTATAAATTATATCCACAAATTCCACTTTAGAAAACAAGTTTTAATTATTTATTCATGTACCTATGTACCTACATAATACCTGATTAAATTAATTTTAAAATAGGTTTTATATACCAATAACCTACCTATGTAATTTATAAAAAAAATATACTCTGGTATAAAATAATCATTTAAAATGACTATTGTATAATGTATATGTCTATACGACCTTCGAAACAAATATAAGTCCATAAATTACTTTCTGCAATTCATTTGTAAATGTCTAAACGCTTCTTCATCAAAAATATATTAAATACTTAAGAGTATTGTATCGCAATTTGTAGTCATTAATTTCAATAGAATAGAATATGAATATGTTTCATAGTTTTTGAATTATTTCATAAATAATGCCAATGAACTTATTTACTGGTTAATTACTGACTATTACAATAGCACGCGTACAAGTAGCCAAGTAGGTATATTAAAATAGTATGCAGCCACTAACAATTAATAAGTTAGTAAATATTTTTTTTCTTTGGCTTAAAAAATTAAAAATTGTATTTTAATACAAAAGGCAATGAAGTATTAAATTTGTTTAGTAGGTTCAATAAAATATTAATATATATTCAAATGTTAAATATATTTACATAACTGAAAATTTAAAACTATTACTTCTAAAAGCTAAAATTAAAACGTTAGTTTAGATGAGTAGCCTTAGAACCTACATAATTTTGACTCAAATACTCAATTGAATAATTTATTGTTGTAACACTCAAGAGCCCGTTTTGCAATCATAGTTTAAAACTCGGTTACGCCTAACCCACTGATTTTATCGGCCGAATTCGGTAGTAATGAAGGCACTTAATCTTATTCCATTAGGTTAAATCACTAACTTAATAATTATTATTAAAATATAATAATGAAATGCTGCCTTCATTTAATTGTTCACTCAAAATAAGTTTTGTTGAGACACTATAAGAACCAACATCAACATATTAAAAATTAAATTAAATTACTGAACTAGGTAACTAAAATTTTTTTCTTGCTATTTGAAGGTTTTTAAATTTTGTTTGAGGTATATAACTCGAAAAATACATTAGTTGGATTTATTTTTATTGCTCTCGAAAATTCAAGTTATTGAGACTGAATTTTATAGTGCATACTCTGCATAAATTAAATATTTATATAGCTGGTTATTTATGATTACCTATTTTTTAAGTTAAAAATCTATATACAGTATTATTATTGTGAATTTTTAATGCATAAATATCCATATTAATAATTAAAATAAAATAATGTATTTTCCCTAGCTTAAAGATTAAAACAATTCAATTTAATTTATCGTGCAGAATCGCAAGAAATAACTGTTAAATTTTTTTTTTTAGAATTAAATGTTTGTTTACTCCCAATAATTTAATGAAGAAATCTTGAAATAAAAAATTATGAGACCAAGCCATCCAACTTTCCTAACATATTCGTGAAGTAAAGCAGACATTTTTTTTTTTACTAGTTTATTCTAAATCCACACGATGTTGTATTTGTTGATAATAATGAAGTACTTAAATACTAAATAATATAACCATTAAGTTAACAAAATATCATGTTCCATTAACTATTCTTTAACTCTTAAATCTTAAACTAAAGGATATTAATACTAGAAATAAAAACACACCAAAGTTGCAGTAATAATTGGGTTTTTATTGATGTCAACACAAGTCATAGTTTAAAACAAAATTCAAGCAATACTGCTGGCATTTGACGCGATCCTAGGCCACAAATCTGCACATTCTTTAGCTACAGGACCAGTAATAGCACTCCCTAAATTAAAATAAAATGAATAACTAAGTGTTTAAGTAAATATAACAATAAATGTGTCAATTACCTTTCATTTCGCCTTTGTTGTTGACAATTACCCCGGCGTTGTCTTCAAAATACAAAAACACCCCGTCCTTCCTTCTGAAAGGTTTCCGCTGTCGAATGACTACCGCAGGCATTACTGTAATAAACAATATATTAGTTAATTATTACACGCGTTACATTACAACACTTAAAAGATGACAAACGAAATGATATTTACCTTTTTTCCGGAGTTCTGGCTTTCCTTTCTTCACTGTCGCTACGATCATGTCACCCGATGCAGCGGCTGGCAAACGATTCAAACGACCCTTGATGCCCTGGACGGCGATGACGAACAAGTTCTTAGCGCCTAGTAATTACACGTGACAAAAATAAGAACATTGTTACAACATTTAAGTCCAAGTTATGCTTACCAGTGTTATCAGCGCAATTGATGACGGCGCCGACGGGCAAACCGAGAGATATCCGGAACTTGGCTCCGGCGGAACCACCACGTCCTGAAAAAGCACATTATTTTATTACATTTGCACACATAACCTCATGCGTGGACGGCCGCAATGGCGGACAAACGCGTGTATGAAGTGAGAACGAAAAACGTCAAGACGAACGACAGGGCGTCGACGCGTTCGGCCGTCCGACACACGTACACACACATTTTTATCGATTTGGTCGTAGAGAAATAATTATCGTTTATTAAAATAAAAAAACTTACCTCTTTTGGACATTGTGGTGTGCTATAAGAGCGCGTCAAAAGAAAAATACGAACGCGACGAGTTGAGTCTCGAGAATGGTGTGAACACGCACGAGATAACCTAACAACACGGCAGCCGAAAAGAAAGACGGAATCACTCTTGTCGCAGTGACGGCAACCGAGCGGCACGAAATATCTCCCCCACCGACGGACGCCGAACGCGAGCGCCATCTGTTCGATATAAATCAACCATCCACCGGCATGTGAGCGCGCGAACACTGCTTATTGTTCAAACATTTCAAATTCAAACGCGGTTGGCAACAATAAAAAATATATTGCTACCTATTATAATACCCGCTACCGCATTGTCTTAAAATACAATTAATAGTATTATTTTAATAATGAATATTATTGTTATATTCGTTGAATAACGTTTTTTTTTTTCAAACGTTTGCCAAATGACAATTTTTTTTCTTCATCTTTTCAAACGACATACCGACGGAAATAATTTAGTACATTTAGCATAAATTAAATATTATATCAGTGAAAATTGTTTATTCGGAAAGAATACTATCCCACACACACATGTAAATCACTATTATAATATTATATAGGTAGACAATTTACAGAGAAATACGAAAATGTATTTGATACGGTTTCGAAGTTTCTAGATGGTCGACTGTCGTTATATGTATATTAAATTACGAAAATGTGCTTATGAAAAATATCATATGTTAATTTATCATTATCCATTACAGCAATACATATTAAGATATTTTCATATTCTAGCGATTAAAGTGGAATAGAATATTATGTATACTCAAAATGAATGTGCTCGTTATTGGATAGGTATATTATGTTCATATTTATAACTATTGTCTTCATTTATACGAATTTCATTTCGGCTAACAATATCTGAGTTTTTCAGTCTGGTAATTTACCAAAAATCACTATTATTTGGTTTCTATACAGCATACAATAATTATACAAATAGGTATATTTAATTGATCATTGTTGAGCTATGATTTGGACATTTAGAAAAACTAAGTAGGTAGTTGTAGGCTGTAGCCACTTGTAGGTCAGGTTAGTTGCTAGTATAATGGTTGCGATAACAAAAATTATACAAATTGACAAATAGTCGCGATAACTGGGAGTGTAGTGAAGTGTACGCGTTAAAGAAGTAGATACCTCAGGTACTCTGTAATAATTTTACCTATATTTTATGGTGCTTAATGAATATAGTAAAACTTTGTACAAGGTACACTCTGTAGTCTTAGTCTGTACACCTACCTACAATCGTTATCGGCTACTGAATAGTGAATAGTACCTACACTGCCGGTATTATATTTTTATTTTTTTACGGTTGTAATCTGTAGAACTGAAAACATATTTTATTTACCTCGTGTTCATAATTTAAACATTAAACATTTATCCTTCAAATTATTGATTTGAACATTGAAAAAAAGGCAGCACTGAATATTTAAAAATTATAATTAATGGTTATTAAGTATTCAAGTATAATAATGTTTGTATGCCGTTGTCCGTTGGTGTATTATTATAAACGATATTCTTTATCATGTGATTTTATTTATTTTGCTAACCCTCATATTGACTTATTACTAATTTTCCAATTCGTGATATAAGAAATTATTGTTACCAGCTTATGCATGTCGATTTAAGACAATTCTGTTTTAAGTACTATACAACAAAACCTACATAATAGTATAGTAGTTAAAAAATACCCAACGCTCCAACTGTTCTGACCTATTAAATAGTAGGTAACGATTGTTAAAAATACTAACTTAGCCTAATCGTTCTTCGGTATTTTTTCAACCATATTACAATATATTTTATTTTCATTCAAAACCTCGCCTAATAGCAATTAAAAAATATTCTTTGTGTGTACTCAATATATAACCTTTAAAATCTATTAGTATTAAAAAATAACGTATAGGTAAAAGTATTTAATTTTATCATGATTCATGAACGGTATATATATTATATATTAAAATATAAAATATTACCTATACAATTTTCCGCGAAATACTGAAATGTTTCATACGTCATATTATTACGTCAACACTCAACAATATAGGTAGGCATCTTATTATATTAAATCAATATTATGTATTATAAATTAGGTAATTTGAATTTTGATTGTCTTACAAAGTGTATGATGTTATTACAAACTTAGGTCGGTAACTTGTTTTCAGAATTAAATTTAATCCACATATTCCAGTTGTTCGATACTTTCCAGTCGTTCACATCATATTTTCATCTAACATAACTGTGTTCAATTAATTTGGCTTGAAATTAAATTATTATAGTTTATCTTAACAATAATAATATTATGCTTTAGTACCTTCCTATGTATATTTAACAGTATAAGTAGGTACCTATCTACTATTTGCTTTAACATAAACACATATGTATGACGTAAAAGTTTAATAAATCCCTTTAATCGTTTTTGAAAATATTTTAATAATATATTATATTATAATCAAATTGATTCAGTTGAATAATTTTATACTTGGCTCGTCTAAAGACTAAATCATTATAAATTATAAAAGGCTCTCATAAAAATCCACGTCCATCAATAATGTATGGTATACCCGTATAAATTTCATTTTATTGAGTACAAAACTTACGTACGTGCACATGCATACATACCACATACGTATATAATATATTGTACCTATATATACATAATGTATATAAAATATAAGTACATAAATTTGTGTGCGAATACTAAAGAAAAATGTAATCAAACATTCAAACTCTAACATGAAAAAAAAGAAACGATTTCGTATATTTGGTTAAACCTAACATTTAAATAGCGAACTATCACAAAAACATTTTTAATATTTACTCTAGTATAATAATATATGTTTCCGTTTTTTGAAAACATTTTGAACCTAAATAACCTAACCTAACCTTGGGGAAATTGTAAAATATGTTAATAACAAATAAATAATTTACCTATATCAATAGGCTGTAGTAAGTAGTTTGGAATTATCAGTATAAACATCTTATTAATTATTAGTTAGGTATAACTTATTATAGTATTAGTTATAAACAAAACGGGGTACTTATCTAAATAATTTAACTATTTTATTTTGTGTTTTATTTATGTACCTATTTTTAGTCAATTACAGGTAGTTTTAAACGAATTAAACTTTGTTTTAGTTAGTAGCAATTTTTAAAAATCTGAAATTGAAACTGTTCGTAAGTTATAGATCATACTTTTTTTATATCTATTGTATTGAAAGTTTTACTGAAATTCTAACATTATTAATAGTGTAAGGATATGAATATGTAAAAACAAACATTTTGATCATAATTTATATTTTTCGCAGCATCTAATTTAATTAATTTAATGACATTGGTAGGTACTTACCTATCTAGTGTATAAGAATAGAATATAATTGACTTAGTTTTTAATTTTAAGTATTATGTATTAAATAATTTAATATCTTTCAAAATAGTCAAACATTTTTGTGTTTCATTTTTGATTAAGTTATTATTAGGTACCTACTGTAAAACATTACCTACATAAACAGGTACCTAGCTGTGCTTTTACCTTAACCGATTTATCTACAATTTATTTTATCATCACAGAATGTACTGCTGAACAATTCAAATGTCGTCTTACATCGTTTTGTATTGACAAATCCCTACACTGCAACAGAATAAAAAATTGTCAGGACGGTTCGGATGAAGAAAATTGTCGTATGTTAAAAAACACAACAGAGTCAAAATTTAGCTTGGAATTCGCAACACACATGTGTCACATGTCTAGCGCTAAATAATTTTTACACACTTTTTGTATAATTATCATAATATACCAGAAGAAATCTAATTGATATAATATATTTATATATATATATTGACATTAATTTATTAACCACACGTCCACACGACAAATATTAGAGCTACTTATATGTTATAAGTATAGTTTTGCACTAAATATTAGAATAAAATTGCTACGTTAGCTTTGTACGCTGCAAGCATAATTATATGTAACAGTACCTAAACCTTTTTATATATAAGGTTAAACATAATATTATAATGGCACTTGTCTAAAAGTACGAAATAAATTATTGGTGGTGTATTAAATGTTATAAAATGGGATGTATATTTAGTATTGTCACTCATCATATGTATTATAATTTAAATATCATAGTACATTTGATAAAATTGCACTTGATGCTTTATGGAAAATGTTCGTAATTGTGTATTGTCCAGTATATGCTCCGGGTTAAATATTACGCCGATGTTAATAAAGTGATTCTAATACAAATGTTATTGTTTTACAGCTGAAAAAGATTGTGATGAAAATTCATTTTCATGTCGAAGCACAGATCAGTGCATTGACAGAAGAAAAGAATGTGACGGGCGCGTTGATTGCGACGACGGATCTGACGAAGAAAATTGCTGTAAATAATAAATTTTATCATAAATTATAATGTTATACATTTTATACAATTTAATACAATTCTACATAGTTCACTATATATTATAGTGATTTATTTAACAGCTGCAGAACACAATTTTTTTTCAAAAAATATTTTCTTTTATGGAGGATTTTAGACACTATATTGCAATACTAATACATATTTATTATCATATTCGCTTATTATTTCTCCCTTATGATAGCTGGTAGAACCACTATCAACATTCGATTTTTAAACGACAACTAATTTAATTTCCTAATCTGTAGTGAAATACTTTAAACAAATTATAATCTATAGGTTTATATCGAATATTAATCGAAGTTTAGATATGTAGAACACTAGCATCATACCTCGCAACGTATACTATGCGAAATTTGTACTCCACTAATGACTTATCTGTTTGTCTAAACTTTAAATGTTTGTTTATTCGAAGTTAGGTCATATCATATCTATATATTTAAAAGGTACAACTAATATGAACTATATTTATAAATTGTTTAAATATGTATTAGGTATTGTGTATTACCTACCAACCTTATTATCTAGACATCTAATAAGTACCTTGTAAAATAACACACCCTTCTTAACATGTTTAGATTCATTAATATAATAATATTATACCTTTTAATATTAATCGAATTTTTTTATTTTAATTAAAACAATGTGTACCTATTTAAAATGTATATATTATACATTTTATGTATTGTTTGTACTTAAACTTAAAATAACTGTATTTTTTTTTTAAATAGTCGGTGCAAAATGGTTATCGGACAGTTCTAACCTTCAATTGATACATAATATTATGCACATACTCATAGTTTTTAATAATTGTTTTTTTTTCTGCAGCTAATTGCGGCCCTGAAGAGTTTCAATGTCACAATGGTAAATGTTTGTCCATCGACAAAAGATGTAATGGGAAAACTGAATGCAGCAACGGCGAAGACGAGGTTAATTGTGGAATACCGGGCGGTGACAATATACCCAGTTTAGGTACAGGTACTATATTATACACCTCTTACGAGATTAAAAATATTCTTCATTCTTGTATAGGAAGTCAAATTATTATATTTTATTGAATCTCCCGAGTATAAAAAAAAACTGTTACCTACCTATAATTTTGTCATTTTAACGGTTGTTGTCGCTTTCTAAAAATAACACTGGTGTAGAAATATCATGTTGCACTTACATATTTTACAATGTACTACATGAAAATGTACTTGTAATATAATAATTGTACTTATAAAATGGCTTTTCACCAAATGCACACAAACTTCATACCATATGCGCACATCTATTTAGTTCGGTGTAGTTAATAATAAACCACAAATAAAATATAAGCAACACTCAACAAAGCTTTGTGCCTATATACACTATACAGTATTACAATTAATGTTAGTCACATTTTATGCTAAAAAGTTTTAAAAGGATATTAAGAATTTTCGTTAATGATAAAGTTTAGGGATTTCAAGTAATTCCATATAAGTATCATTATAATACAATAGGAACATGCATTATGAGACAAAGAAAAAAAAATTTAATTCTAGTAGAATCGGAATATTCAAGATCAAATAAAAATATTAGTAGGTATTTATGTTCTTTATGTTTATTTTTAAAAATTCTTTGACTCTCGGATACAACAGACTATGAACTATTATTGTACACAGTTTTTATTATCCAATATTAATATTTAATATAGAAAGCGGACTTCTTCCACACTGAATATTGTTTACTTTTTTGGTAAACTATTTAGTTAAGGAAGCTGCTGACGATACAAATACCTAAACAAGTGTTTATATTTAATTTTATGTAAAACATGTCAAAAGCCAAACAAAATTATGGGACCATTGAGTTTGATGGTTTAAATGTTTTTTTTTTTTAAATAAATTAAAAATCTTTGAGAACTTTACTGAAGCATAACTGAACACGTTTAAGATATTACAAAAATGGAGGGCGTACTAAAAGTACAAACAATTCTTATTTCATTAAAACTATTATCAATATTTTATTAATATTTTATTTGAATATAGAAAACACCCTCCTCAGACATTCTCTTGCTTGGTAGACCAATAACGTAGATAATTGGCCTACACACAACTCCTTAGAAATGGTTGTGCTGAAATTTTACATTATTATAATTTATAATACTTCACTTGAAAGCAATTATCACAAATTTTTAAAAGAAAGTATTTTATTCGCTTCATTCAGGAATCAGGATATAGATATAATAGAAGTAAAATATTTATTTCATGATTAAGATTTGATAATAGTTTTACATATTTTGTTTTGTATAAATTAATGTTTTTTTAGATACCCATATCTAAGGTGGTTACTAGTTTACTATAGGTATACCTGTCACGTGTCTTTTATGACTATAACCAATATAATATACTTATTGATATGATTAATATGTGTAATGTGTTTAACTATGTTTAGGATAAAATCTAGTGAACTTATTAGTTATTAACCATTATCTCACCTTGCATTATTTTTTAATTTTTTATCTTACTTTTATACATATTACACAGAATATAAAATACATTTTATATATCAATTAAAAATTAATTTTTATTGTCTTATACTATTGTATGAATGTATGATTAATGATTACTGATTAGTGATTATGGTTTAAAAATACCAAAAAATAAATTAACGTCAGCGAATCAATCATTAAATACTCATTCTGCTCCTTCTCAGATATAGTTATTTGGGTAAATACTCAAACACAATAATTCGTTTTAGCAGGTACAAAATGAGGTTAGGAAAATTTGGTTATTGATATAGATTTATTGTTCTGTACGATGTATACGTTATATACTTGACAGTAAACCATAATTTATACGTATTATATTCTTATAATCTTATTATTAATAAGAGAATATTTGACCTTACCTACGGGCTACAATTCATAAACACAAAAACGTTTGCAAAAGTTCATTAGATTTTGTCCTGCCTGTGTATCACGTCATATAGTAAATATATATGATGATAATTATAATATTATGTTATTATAACACTCATAAATATTATATACTAGTTGGTAATAACGTAATATAATATAGTTATATTAATAAATAACATGTTATTTAATTTAATACAATTTAATACACTATCAATTAATTAACATGTTATTTTCAATGTTCACGTTCTTAATATTCTAATGCTTTTCTTGTGGCACGCTTGATGTGTAGACCCCATGCTCGCACCTTGCGCTCAATCAGATTTCACATGTGCTGTTGACATGAGTTGCATTCCCTTATCGAAGTCTTGCGACGGCCGTCCGGATTGTCCGGACGCAGAAGACGAGCAGAATTGCACAAATGGTAATAATATTAACAATAATAATAATACGACAGTATTTTTTTATTTCCTTAGCAATCGTTAAGCGCGCACACCAGCTATAAAAACTATAATATGTATTATGTATACATTATAGCGTACCTACTTACTATTATTGATAAAAATAAACGAAATTTGATTTTCTAAAATATAAAGAATATAACAATAATTGTTGTAACTTATAATCTTGATATATTATAATTTATAACTATTATAATTTTTAATATTTATTATACATTATTAAAGGGCAGCGCTTTTTTCGTTATTATTGTTTTTTTGCTTGTATTCTGGTAGTTATGTGATATATTGTTGTATTTTTGTTCTGTGGCTTTTTGTGTACTACTATCATGTAGACAGACCATCGTTATCGTCTGCAAACACTAATCAGGCGTCGTCAACAGCCGACATACCGCCTCCTGCAGTCGCCACGGTGTGTTTTTCCAACGAGTTTCGATGTCACGACGGCGGTTGCGTGAACAGCGGTTACCGCTGCGATCGTATTAACGACTGTAAGGATCAAAGTGACGAATTGGACTGTGGTAAGTACGATCCACTGACGAAGCACGTCAGTCGTCTCCGTCATCGTGGCGCACAACGTTTTGCTGGGGTGGACCTGCTAAATTGGTTCGATAAGAGCTTTAGGCTTTGCCTTCGGGCTTATATTATATTGTAACTGTGTATAAGTATTGCGTAGTATAAAGACAACAACATGTTTTTTTCTTCTATTTAACTTTATAATATTCTATATTTACTCTAGCTTGGAGAAATAAGAAGGACAAAAATGTTTTGAATAATAGACGGAAAAGTATTTTTTAGTACACCCACATATTGATAAAGTCCAAGAAGGGGTAGCCTTATAGGAACACGACCGATAGTTAAATTTCATCTTTTGTTCGATTTTTTTACTTAATAGACCTAACTAAACAAAACTCTACAAAATAAAATTTATTTTTAAGAAGTCTGAAGTTCTGAATATATAATGTACACTGTACAATGTACACATGAACATATTTTTTATTTTATTTTAAAAAGGGTAGTGAAAAAAATACGTTTGTACATTATTTATATTTACAGTCACGTACAACAAATACAATTTGAATTAAACTTTGTAACTTTAAGCAAAATACAATATTTGTATTACCTTACTTAAGTTTATTTTTCTGTATATATTTGTTTTTATGAGTCATACATTTTGGCTTATATTGCTTATAATATAAACTATTAAACTCCAATTACTTAAGTGTACCTACTATTAGTCAAAATTTAACTTATGTCAGAAGGTTAGTCCAGTTTTTTATATCGTTTGACAAAAATTAAACTGTAAAATAATTGTTGAAATTATCATAAACCTAACCAATTAATTTCATTTCACCATTAAGTAATATTTGCTGCACGTTCGTTCATTAGGTACCTATAAATACTATGTATAGGTATCATCATTCACTAATACTAAATTACACCGAGTACATCACATTTAAAGTGCCTCTCTCCAGTCAATAAAATCCTTTTGAAATGGCATGTAATTACATCAACCTGGTTGAAATGGGAATTGTATTTAGATTTAATAAATAGCGTATGCATATCTAAACAAACAGACAATTTTTCATTATTACGCTATTGTATACAATTACTATATTATAATAATGACAATGATTCTCCATCAACATCTTATCCGTAATAATTAGAATATCATAAACCATTATTCGTTTTAAATTTGTTTGTATTATTTTTATAATGGTTTTGTCCACAGCTCCCACAATTCCGCCGATAACGATCCCCAACGTCACTAATATTGCCACCACCACTGTAATATACCCGCAGTATGAAAATCCTTCTGTGTTCGTGACCTGCAACTGGAACGAATTTGCTTGCCGCAACGGTCGGCAGTGCGTCCCGAAATCGGCGAAATGCAACAACAACTACGAGTGTCAAGACTATTCGGACGAAGACAATTGCTGTAAGTTTAATCCTTACACAGGGGAATCAACTGGCTACTAAATAATAGAGCGATTCTCATAAAAGTCCTGAATTGTTGACCTCTGAAATTAAATTACATCTAATTATAGCTCGTATATAATTCGACACAAATCTATAATTTATTAGTTATTATACTCGGAATTTAAAGTTAGGTACCTACCTTCTTTAATTTGTATATAGTTTGTCAAAATATATTTTTCTTTCGTTATAATATGTCTTATATATTATATATTTTGTATTTTATATATTCTAAAAATCGTATTTTCCCATCAGTCCATGTTGATATTTTTATCTTTAAAATTTATATATTTTTATTGATTTTTCTTCTGATAACTAAACAATTAATTTTTTTCATCGACCATCATTATGATTTATATTTAAATACATTTTATTTTAGATGACGCTCCAGATGGTTTAAATTTAAAAACATATCCCAATGAACAAACCATTAAAGAAAGTAAGTGAAACCTCATAATATATTTGTTATGAACTTATATTTTAATTTTACCTATTGTATATATTTGTACATACTACATTTTGCTGAAAATTATTCAGTTTGTAATATACAGTTATATTTTAATATACCGAATCATAATGAACAAAATTGCACATAATATAATCGACACCTGCACTAAAATAGTTCATTATGATGACATTTCAAATAGTTTATGTTTTTCTGGAATGCAATTAACATATTTTGCATTTAATATTTATAAACTAGTATTAACCAGCTACATTGCACAATATTGCTCGATTTGCACAAATCCTAAAATCAAAAAATACATATCATTTAATCGTATTTTTTAGAAACTATTTTATTTAGGTTTTATTTAGTAAATTATAAGGTATGAAAACAACACCACGTAATAATCAAAATGTATAAAAAAAAATAATAACTTTTACAACAGTGATGTAAAGTATTCAAACTTTTAATATATATATATAATCTAATTATTGAAAATTTGGTAAAAAAATTATTATTTCCACTATTATGGTTTTTTGCTCAAAATAATGATATTTACGTTAGTATTTATTGTTAGTCTTATAATATAACTAAATATTTATCATTTAACCATTAATATTAATGCAATTTTGTATTTTTGTTTATTTCCCAATATGCACTCTATTTTTGATTTCTTCTTACTAGACTCTAAAGGTAAGATTTTTATGGACATTTTATTGGATATTTCTCGGGTGTTTGATTTATGAATATGTTTCGTATGCATTACTACTTATGCTGAAAATCATGCATGTCAGGGACTCATAGAATGTGAATCATAAAACATGTAGATATTTAAATTATTTAACAGTTTCTATACAGTGCATGACAATCATAATATAAGCATCACAAAAATACGCATAATGAAACTGCGACAAGTATTTTTTGTATTTTTATTATAATTTATTGTTTTTAGGACGTTTGCATGACAATTATTTGAATCATCCATCAATACTGTCACATGTTGTAAACTAATATACATTAAAATATATTAAAATAATTAAGCTAGCTTATGAAAAATTATACAATTTTCAATTATTAAAGTAATGTCAAATATGATATATATTATATATACAATCAATGTTAGATACTTAGTGTTAGAGAAATTAAATTATCATCTAGATAAGATTTATATTATATTTAATAAAAAAAAAAAAATTAATATGGATTATAATTAAGGGGCCTGGTCGCGATTTTTCAAATTTTCCGCAATTCTATAAAATTTGAAAATTTAATTTTATATTTTAGTTGCCACCTCAATTATAAGACTTTTCCACTAATCTACTACCCAATACCTATTTAGGGGGGGTTGATAGGGTGTATTATATCGGTCAAAACACAGTTTACAGGAAAAACTCTCACACCTCGTAGATTGGTCCGATTTCCGTAATTTTTTTTTTGTTAGATAGAAGAATATTTTTTACAGGGCGCATTGGACTTTGATTTTTGATTACGTTGCTAAAAATAAATAATAATACAAAAACTAAAAAGTTGTAAAAATGGATTAAATTCAAACTTGTAATATAAGATTTCGAAAAATAATTTTGAAAATCCAAGTCCAATGCGCCCTGAAATACGTCTTTCTCTATTTAACAAAAAAAAAATTACGGAAATCGGACCAATCTACAAGGCGTGAGAGTTTTTCCTGTAAGGCATGTTTTTGAGCAAAAAAACAGGTCGCGACCAGACCCCTTAATAATTATTTTTGTGTATACCTGTTAAATTTTCTGTAAATTTATTGCTTATCATAATATTTTTTAAGTAAAATTACTATTTGGGTATTAACAAAATCTCAACACGAAAATAATTTAATTCTTAATAGTTTAAAAATTATTATTTCTTATCATCTAAGTACAATAAAACTATTTGGAATATTTAAATATAATTCATAATAAAATAGATTTTAGATAATGTTTTACAAGGAGGTGACGATTAAATAATGTAACCATAAAATATGTCTTGTTCAAAAGAGCAACAATTTCTAAAAAATTTTTTAAGAATTATCGTTAGGGTTCTCCTTTGATAAAACGCTTACCTACTACTTAATTACTACGCTAATTATTTCAATTTTATAAATTATCGCTTAATAGTAAAATAACATTATGATTACTAGTACAGTAGTACCTATATAGGTAATTTACATATAACATAATATTATACATATGGAGGTATTTGCTATTTGTAGTATAATTAGATATAATTGACGATTGAATGATGATTGTGAATGCATGAATGGAGTTAATTTTTTGACTAAAACTATGGATCATATAAAAAAAATATTAATTTTTATCATACAAATTTTATACAAAATTAATACTTTGAATGTTCACGAATGCCGGACAAACGCGGGGCTATTCAAAATGGGGGATGTAGATCTCAGAAGCGGGATAATCCCCGATAATTTGTGATGTCTAGAAACCAGTCTTAATCATTAACACTGTATGAAAGAAATTTTATTTTATGAATAACAAAATAGTATAACTAAAATATTTAGTTATACATAGGTGTCCAATCATTATAGTTATCTATTTGATAATTGATGTATTGCGTATTTTAATAATATACCTAACTATTATTAGTGTTCATTGTTTATAAGTTTTTATTTAGTTTTGCATGTTGTTCGCATGTCGTTTTTGGTTTGGGTATTTTTATTTAGAATAATTATATTTTACATTAATGGTCAATTATGTTTCTATTCGTTGCGTAGACAGAGAAGTAGTATTTCAATGCAGAGACGAAGGTCCTCTGAGAGCACCTGTTAGATGGTCTCGGGGCAATGGATTGTATTTACCTCATGGATCTAGAGACATCGGAGGCCGATTGGAAATGCCTAATATCAAGGTATATTTACATTATTATTCATCTCTTCAAATGCTAATATGTTTGAAATAATTTAGGTTGAACACAGTGGCACGTATGTGTGCGAGGCAGTTGGTTTCTCAGCTTCCGACCCTGGATCCCGCGTATCTGTCTTCCTAAAAGTAGAACCATGTAAGTAAAACATCTAAACATCACGAATGATGCTTTTAAATTTATATTTAAAAAAAAATAAATACTTACCTAATACAAGCTGCAAGGAAACATAAACATATAATACCAATTATAAATAATAAATGGAAATTTGGTTTACCTGCAACAAGAAATTTTAATATTAATCGCTACTCAGGTATGTACATAATTGAGCCGAAATACACAATAAATATATTGCTTTTATTATGTGTATTACTATAAAGTTTAATTTTTTACTTTGCTGACGTTTGTATTTGATCTAAATGTAAGTAGAATATTCTGTTATTTTAAAATCGTTTAGTAGGTGTCGAAATTATAAATATATATATAGGTAGGTACGTTTATGAAATAATGTACATGTACATCTATTGTATATTTGTATTAATTAAATATACCTACCTATTTAGGTTATTGGTAATGTAAAATGTTATTAATACTATGATGTATACATATGGAATATTATTAATTAATAACTATATTAATAATTACATATATTTTAATGTATGCTTGACATTCGTATTCGCAGTGCCGGATTTACCATTAGGCTAACTAGGCTGTAACCTAGGGAGGCAAATTTTTTCTCTTTTTTCATCTCTATAAACTGACAAAAAATTATTTTACTCTTTCATTAGCGCTTTCCTGGCCACGTCGACCGTTGGGACATATTATAGATCCCACGTCTCTAATCAAAAGTACTATTTTTAGTATTTTATAGGAATCGAACGTTATTATTATTCTGGGAATTATTTTGTTTTTCAATTTTTGTTTGTCGTCGACCGTCGTCCTTCGACGTCAACTTACGATAACGATAACTCCAACATAAACGTGATCATGATCTGACGACTGACATCAGACATCTGTTTTTCCAAACATAGACATCTCGTATAGATTATTCAATCGCATGCCTGTTACAAATTGCAGTGCTGAGCGCTGAGCGTAGCTTTTCATGTTCAAAACGTATAGAAAATTGTTTAAGGTTGGCGACATTAGAAACACGTTCAAATAGTTTGATGTTTCTCAACATTGAGGCTGAAATATTGACAGCCTTAAATTTCGACGATCTAATCGACACATTCGCCCAACAAAAGGCACGAAGAAAGTTTTTTTTAAAGTAATCACTGTATATTTTGACTTTTGAATTTTTGTATTTGTATTTTAAAATTAAATCTCCTGTTTCTTGAGTACTTGATTTTATAAGTTTTTAATTGTGCACCAAAATAACACTTATATGAAGCTCATATTGGTTTTAAAATTATGATTGTATGATTTTGAGGTGGCATTTTCCTAATAGCCTAGGGCGGCTGAAGAGGTAAATCTGGCACTGGGTATTCGTTTACCTATGTATACAATTTATACAATTAAAAATGTCACCCATTCATATTTTAATTGTTTTAATATTTAATACAATATTTATGAATTATATTTCAGGGATTGATGTAACGGTTCGGCCCATAGAATCGTGTGGTTTAAATGAAGCTTCGTGTTCCAATAAACAATGTATATTAAAGACAAAAGTTTGCGACGGTCAAATAGATTGTTTAGATGGATCAGATGAAACCCGTTGCAGTATGTTTAGATTTAATTAAACATTTGGTTAAAAATACTAATACCTATACTTTGATAACTGTCATTTTTAGATATGTTTGGATGTCAACCCAACGAGTTTAGATGTAGTAATAAAAAATGTATACTCAAAACTTGGGTGTGTGATGGTCAAGATGATTGCGGTGATAATTTTGATGAACAGAACTGTGAACAAAGAGTATCGGGTGCGTAATGAATATTAATAAATATATAATTTTTTTTACGTAATATACCTACCGACCTATGTCTGTACCTAGGTAGATATTGTAAAATTATAAATTATAATTATTTATATGTGATGATTTTTTTATCACCTTCTAGATTCTCGCTGTTTGTATAGTGAATTTGAGTGCAGAAATAAAGAGTGCATTCCAAAATCATTCCAATGTGATTCTCAAAGTGATTGTTGTTCAGATGGAAGTGATGAAATTGGTTGTCGTAAGTAGAATAATGTGTATACATTGGTCACACTACTTTATTTTAATGATTTTAATTTTAATTTAGTTCCTGTACAATTTCAAACTACACCACCTCCTTTGATAACACTTGAAATCGGTGAAGTGTTCATAACAACATGCAAACCTGTTGGTGTACCAATCCCAGAAATATCATGGCGATTGAACTGGGGTCATGTTCCAACAAAATGTGAAATGACTAGTGTTAATGGACTTGGTACACTCACTTGTCCTAATATTCAGGTATAATGTTTATAATGTTAAACAAATTATTGCATACACTTTTGTTTTATACTTAGTTTAAACTTATGTGCACCTATTTTATGGATTTTAGGAAGCTGATCAAGGCGCTTACAGTTGTGAAGGTATCAATAAACATGGTTCCGAAATAGCAGTACCAGACACAATATTAGTTGTAAAACGACCTAATTTAGTTCAACCAAGCGCATGTCCTAAAGGAACCTTTAATGATGTAGCTTTATCTCAAAATGACTGTATTAACTGTTTTTGTTTTGGAATATCAAGTAATTGCAGAAGCTCCAAACTCTTCAAGATTCAGGTTTGAAAATCTTACTTTGGGTTTATTCGGATTAATCAAATCTAATATTTTGTTTCTTCTAGAATACACCATCATTGTATCAACTTAGAATAGCTAATGTTTATGTGGAAGCTTCTTCATTTAGAGTAGAACTACAATCAGCAAGTTCTACTGCTCATCAAATAAATGTTAATGGAAATGAAGCTTTACAAGTGTTTACAGTCAATAATACTTCAAAGCAATCTGAAGACACATATCCATACTTCAAATTCCCAGAAAGCTATTTAGGCAATCAGCTCAAGTCTTATGGGGGATACATAACATACATAGTTAGGTACGAAGGAAACGGAGATCCAATTACATTCACACCAGACATTATTTTGATTGTAAGGAATTTAATTTTTAATTCATACGTTTTAATGAACAATGAATGATGCTTAACATTTAAGTCCGGAAACACCAGTAGGCATAGACGCAGTTGTATCAGCTAGATTATTTGCTGATGTTTGGAAAAAAGAAAGTACCGACAGTTATTCTAATGTACTAGCAACCAGGGAAGAAGTTATGATGGTTTTAGCTAATGTAGAAAATATTTTAATCAGGTATCTATCCCATTAATATATTTTTTCCATTAAATTGTTGATGTAATATATTATATTGATTGCTCAAAAGGGGTCAGTATGTTTCTCAACAATCTGAAACAAACATAAAACACATAAAAATGGATTCTGCACAAACAATGAAAAGTGTAAATGACTATGTAGCATTTGTTGAGGAGTGCCAATGTCCAGCAGGTTATACTGGTCTATCATGTGAAGTAAGTGTCAAATATGTACTAATCAATACAATGAAATGAATGAATAGTATTTATTTAATAAATTATATTATTTTCAATATTATATTAATTTCTTAAATGTTTATTATGAATTATTATTTACTTCCTTAATGTTCTCATCTTGTTATGTGAATATCATTTTTGTATTCACAATTTATGCGTGTTTTTGTTTATTTGTATTATGCATGTTTAAATATTTAATCGTTTTTTAAAGAGCTGTGCTCCTGGATATGTACGCAGACAACAAGGTTCCTGGTTAGGACAATGTTACAAAGAAGATACAGAAGTCTGTCCAGTAGAAATGTATGGATCACCACCGAGAGGAATACTGTGTAGACATTGTCCTTGTCCATTAACATCATCTGGCAATCAGTAATTAACAATGGTTTTTATTTTTAATAAAAATGTCAAACATTTTTTTGGAATAATGGTCGTCTCTTTTAGTTTGGTAAAGGTTGCTACCTAGATACTGATGGCTTACCAACATGTAATTGTATTGATGGATATGTTGGACGAAGGTGCGAACAATGTGCCTCTGGATATTCAGGAAATCCTTTACAACCAGGAGATTATTGCAAACAAGGTAAACAAACTAAAAAATAAGGTTACCATTAAGAGTAGGTATTCTGCCGTGATCACACTTTATGATAATTAATTTTTCAGGTATATGTGATGCAGTTGGTTCAACATCACCATTCCCTGACGAGAGTACTGGAAAATGTGTCTGCAAGGTAAGTCTAATGTATAAATATTAAATATTCTATGTATGTTTCCGGAATAAATTAATAATTCTGCCATATTTTATTTGCTAATGCTGTCCTATTTACTAACACTTGTGGTAAGTATAATTTATAATTAATAAATTGTTTTTCCTATTTTATGGTTTCCATAAAAAACCAGAAATCAAGTATAAAGTATTAACATATTTTTTTTCATTAACTTTTAATTAGGATTATACAACTGGTGATTTATGTAACCAATGTAAGGCTAACACGTTCAACATTGCACCAGATAATCAATTTGGTTGCATCAGCTGTTTCTGCATGGGTCTATCCAATCAATGCACCAGTTCTAGGCTGTACAGACAAGAAGTAAATATTATTTGACTCATGAGATTTTTCAGTTGACAGTATGTATAAAAACGTATAATGTTATAGGTGCACGCAACATTCGCAAGGACCCACCAAGACATAAAATTAATTCAGCGTAAAAACTTTGTTCCGTTACCAAATTTAGAAGTGGACTCAAGTACAAAAGAACTTATTTACAGAGACTTTCCACCAGGTAGTCAAGAAGTATAAACAATCACTGTTAAATTCTATACCAACTGGAAAAATTTCTTTATATGCTATATTATTATTAGGTCTATTATTGGCAATTACCTCCACGGTTTCTGGGAAATAAAATAACTTCATATGGTGGTTCTCTAAGTTACATCTTAAGACATGTTCCAGTTCCAGGTGGTCAATCTTCCAAAAACAGTGCACCAGATATCGAACTTATAAGTGTAAATATTCAAATAATTATCGCAAACAAAAGAATTTCTGTTGTCATTTTTTGTTCTAAAATTTCAGGAAAACAAAATCCGTTTATTGCATTATAGTCGTGAAAACGTTGAACCAAATACTTTAAGAACCACTTCAGTTAAACTATTAGAACAAAATTGGCAACAACCCGATGGTCAGGTTGCAGATCACGAACATTTATTAATGGCATTAGCTGGTTTGAAATCCATACTAATTAAAGCAACTTACACAACTGGTACTAAAGAAGTAGCGTAAGTATATTTATAGTGGCAATACAGTGGTAAAAAAATATGCTGCTTGAGATTATTATTGATTATTATCATTTTCTACCACAAGATACAGTCAGTAACGCTTGAAATCACTGATTCATTCAATACCGGAAAAAATAGAGCTGTTGAAGTGGAAGAATGTTTGTGCCCAGAAGGTTACAAAGGTCTGTCATGTGAAGAATGTGCTGTTGGCTACACTAGAAATGGCCAAGGCCTCTATTTAGAAATCTGCGAACCATGCACATGTAACGGTCATTCAAATCATTGTGATCCTGACTCTGGAATTTGTGTTGTAAGTCAATATTAATTGAATGATAAATTAAGTATTATTAATTATTAATGATGTATACTAATAAATTCTGAACTTACAGAACTGTCAAAATCATACAACAGGAGATACATGTGATGTGTGTTTACCTAGTTATACAGGTAACCCACTAAAAGGCATACCATGTGAAGCCAATGAAGAGATTTCGGCCTGTGATTGTGATTCTTAGGGTACTTTACTGCCTTGTCAAGACAATAGATGTATTTGCAAAGTATAACAAAATATTTAATTAAGTAATAGGATAAATAGATCAAATATGTATAAATAATTAACATTTATAGACCAATGTCGAAGGACCTCGTTGTGACCGTTGTAGACCTGGTACATTTGACTTATCAGAAAATCATGTAGAAGGATGTTTAGAGTGTTTCTGTTCTGGAGTTTCCCAAAACTGTTATCCTTCCAATTTATTTGTTACTCAAATTCCAATGCAGTTATTTGGACAAAGTCACGGTTTTACTTTAACTGATAGGTATTTCTTATAATTTATTTATATATTGTTGATGCTCAGAAATTAAACTAATTAAAAATGTATATTCTCAGTACTAGAAATAGGTTCATTAAATCTGGATTTTCAACTGACGTGTCTAGAAATGAAATTGGCTATGACTATACACCTAATCGCGGTGAACAACTATTTTGGTCGTTGCCATCTTCTTTTACAGGAAATAAGGTATTGTATTATAAGTTTATGGAAATTATGCAATGAGTAATAATAATACATTATAAAAATAATTTAAGCTCAATTATATGGATTATGTATTAAATTTAGGTTACATCCTATGGAGGTTTCCTTAACTGGACCCAATGCTATACCACTTTTCCAGGGTCCACAATACGTGATGATACCGACATAATACTTGTTGGAAGTGGAATATGGTTATTTAAATCAAACGATAAAAAAGTTCTGCCAGGCGAAATAACTGTATATATTTTCACCTTAAAGTTTACCTGTATAAATGTATATTTTATTTTATTTTTATTATAGGTACTAAATATTCATTTAGTAGAAGAAGGTTGGTGTCGATTAATTTCCTCAGGACCACAACCAGCATCAAGAGCTGAATTTATGAAAGTACTTTCGTCTATTGAAGCCATCCTAATTCGTGCGATACATGCTTCTCAGACTAATAGAACATACCTCAGTGGTGTGAGTTTAGATACAGCTATTGAATCTGAGACTGGTGGTGAACCATCAACCAGTGTTGAAATATGCAGATGTCCAGTTGGTCACAGAGGAACATCATGTGAAGTATGTAGAATAATCTCTATCAAATGTACGGTAGTCTTTATTAAATCATTTTTCAAATTAGATATGTAGTGTTGGATATTACAAGGATACCAATGACCAATGCTCAAGATGCCCATGTAATGCTAACGAAGAAAGCTGCTCACTAGGCTCAGACTCAAGAGTCACTTGTAATTGTCTCTCTGGATACACCGGATCTTCCTGCAATACTTTAGGTAATACATTTATTTTATAATGACAGTATATTTTTCATCAACAAAATACTTCAATAACTTAATCACGTTTTCGAGAATACTGGATAACTAAATTATTTTGCACATATTTAATAGGTACTATATTTTATTTTAGCATATAATTCTAGCTCATCAAATTCAAATAAATATTTCTGAATAGCAACTTTTTAAAGCAAATATGGGCTTTACATAAACTTAACAGCAGGTGCTTAACCCAAGCTTATCGGTACAGATTAATCAAAAATTAGTAATTATCAATAGTGATGCATAGTTTAAACAATGAACAACAGTTAACATTTGGACAAATATCCACATTGATATATCCAAGCACTATACTCTATACCCTAAAATATTAATTATTAGTTCATCAAATTGGGATATAATAAAAGCCGTAGGCATTTATCAATTGTAATCCTTAAGGGTATTTTTTATGGACCTATACTTTATGGATTGCTATAGGAATTGTATTTATTGAAAATTACAATTTCAATAATATAATTAGACCAATTATGTTTAAAGAAGTCTACTTTAAGCATTAATTTAATTTGACGTATCATTATCAACAAAAACGAATAACTAATAACTAATGAGCAGGGCTCGGGACTTAAAGCACTTAAAATCATTAAAATAAGCGCTTAAATAAGCACTTAAAAACATCATTATAAGCACTCAAATAAGCATTTAAAAAACTTAAATTTAAGCAAAAATATTTATTAAAAAAAAAAACAATAAAATAAAAATAAAAATTTATCTTTATATTATAAAAAAATTAAACTTCATTTTCAGGACCAGGATTTTATGGATTTTCCAAGGGATTTTCTGAAAAATAAAATGTAAACAATATTTACAAATAGTTGAAAAAAAATAATTTTTTAATAAATTTTAATAAATTTTTTTATTTAAATTATCTTTAATTTTAATTCTATCAAAAACAACTTTGCAGTAGAAAACCATAAAAAAGTATGAAAACTGGTCAAAAAAGCAATCATTATCATAAAAACTTGAAATAAGCATTTTTTTGAAAAATCACTGAAAAAAGCAAAAAAAAAGCACTCAAATTTCATAATTGAATGTGTTGTAACATGACATACACTTCTATAGTAGTCTGCTACATTTTAAGTCAATCTAAAAAAATAAGCAAATGCTTTAAGTCCCGAGCCCTGCTAATGAATAACATAAACCTACAGGCAACACTCATTGTACATTAAAACCTCTTATAGATTTAAGGTAATAACACAAAAAAATTACTTAAAAAACTCTAAAGATAACTAATTAATACTTCCAAACTATCAGAAATATTTTCTTAATATAGTGGTTCAATAACTAATATAATTTTATTTTCAGTTAATAATAGACTAACCACAACCACAACTACAACCAGAACACCACCACCATTACCACAGCCAGAAATTTATATTCAAATAACTGAGCCGAAAATCGAAATTGTTGAAATAGGAATTACTGTCACATTACACTGTGCTGCCAATTCTCGGCGTTCACAAGTAAAATATTATTTATTTTTGAATTTCATGAAATAACTTGTAACATATTTTGCATGTGCTTTTCAGAGAATCAGTATAACATAATCAAAAGAAGACGGATATTTACCATCTGACCGTACACAAGACAATGGTTCTGGTTACTTGTATATAACTAGTGTAGAACCTTCAGATAGTGGAGTGTATATTTGTACAGCATCTGATGGATATTCATCCTTCAGTGACAAAAAAATACTGAGAATAGGAGGTAAGAATGTCAACGTTAAATAAATTAATGTATTCATTTGTATAGTAAAGTTCTTAAGTTATTTATTAAAAAACTTATTTTTTTCATATTAGATCAAACAGAAATAACCAGTAAACCAATACAAAGTCAGCCAGAAATTTACATCACAGTTTCCGACCCATCGATTGAGATCGTGGAAATTGGTAGTACTGTAAGGATTAGATGTGATGCAAGATCTGAAACTGATTCGCAAAGAGTCACAATTTATATTGAACGTAAAATTAAAACATTGTGATTAATTTTAACTGCACAAACTAATATTTGTACTTTTATTAAAACAGCTTCCCAAACTGCCATAAATGGATCAAATGATTTATTGTCACTGACAATAGATCCACCTCAATATTCAGGACCTGGTGATATTGTACGTCTTCAATGTACCATTTCAGATGAGACTCAGTATGGTGTGAAATGGTCAAAAATAGGAAACCAACCATTGCCATATGGATCTGAACAAAGTTCAAGTGGTCTTTTGACTCTCCACCGTCTTAAACCTTCCAACTCTGGGGTATATGTCTGTTCAGCTATTTCATATAGGTCTGGAGCGATTGAATCAGAGGTTGAAGTACCAGTAAATATTGTACAAAGAAGGTAAATATTATTGTACAACTACCTAAAATTGAAAAATAACTGGATTTTTGTTCAACAGAAATCCCCCCATGCTTACGCATTGAACCAGACAAGCAAATAGTTCCACAAGGTACCATAGCAGAACTCAGATGTCTGTCAACTACCGATCCCAATCTTCAAGTACAATGGTTTAAAATCAATGAGAATTTATCGCCTAATGTTCAGGTATGTATTTAATTGTACATTTATACTTTGTCCATCACGATAATAGAACCATTTTGTTTCACATATGAGTTATTTGACCATATTTACTTTTTTGAATAGTTTTAATCACTAATTTCAATTAAAATATAATTCAATGTGTCAGTCATATACTCATATATTCATAAATTTATTGTCTTGTTGTAACCAAGGTTTGGTCAGATATTAAATAATTCATATTTTTAATTTCTCTTGGTCAACAAAATATACATTATATTATTATTTATTTGCCTACTTTATAATATATGCCTACTTGATTTTTTAGATAAGTGGATCTTTACTACGCATACCGTCGGCTCAAGTCAAAGACCGTGGTATATATGTTTGTAAAGGTACTAATGAAGGTGGAACAGCACAAGCATCTTCTATTATTGATATTGAACGTATGTATTTATTAAAACATAGGTATTAATATATTAAACACGGTTATATCAA